ATATCAGAACTAACTACTTTCAAACGTATTTCTACTTCATAATAATGATCGATAGGAGCTAGCAGTGGAAACCTGGAAGAGCATTACGGCTTACTGAAGACTCGTCAGTTGGATGCATTTGTCTCACAGGCAGAAACGTCATTCTTCTCACCTATTATCGAACCAAGTGGAATTGTTAGCCTTCTGTAGGCAGCAATAACTGAACCATAATCTTTCTTATCAATTCTACATAGCTAATTCTCTCTGCCGATTGGAAGAAGGGGTACATTTTCAAACTTCCAAATAAGGGTGACCTAAGTCTTTGCAACAACTCGAGAGCAATCATGCTCCACACCTGTACACCAAAAGCAAAATATTAGCCCCATCATTCTGGGAGATTAAAAAGTGCTCTGCATTCGAAATTACCACCAGAAGACGCTGCATGCCTGCCTGCCTGCCTTCAGGAAAAACATATCATGTGTGGAACAAATTCAACGCTACACTACGCATAATCATACAATACAGCATACAATAGCAGTCAACTCAACTCAACTCAACTCTACCTCAAATTCATCGACTTACAAAACACCTTCGATCGAGGCATTCACCGAGAATTAATTTGGCAAACAGCTGCTTCAACACTACACTACGCTTTCAGTGCCACAAACCCTTATCAACCTCATTCAACAACAGCTATATACCATATGAACACGCTACATACCGAGTGATTCATAATGCAAAGCATTTCAGGGATGCCTTCGAAGTGAAGATGATAGGGGACAGGAGTAGTAAGACAAGATTGCCACTTACTATCACCAATCATCTTCCTGATTGTCGTCGACTGGACTGCACTGACTGCATCATGCAAGAAACTGTGACGAGCTGTGAGAAGATGGCATATGCTGGCTGGACCGATGAAAAGACTCTAGAAGATTTCGGTTTCACTAATGATAATTTATGTCTAATGTCTTGTCGCACAAACTCGAAGATCTACAGGCAAAAACAAACAAGTTGACGAAGGAGGCAGGACAGCGAAGGAAGACTCCACTTCCTTCAGGTGAACCTAGAGAAGTCACAGGTGATGAACATAGCCATCCAAAAACAACAACAAAAACAAACACTAATCACCATCAATGGAAGAAACCTAAAGCAAGTTGTCTCTTTCACCTAACTAGGCAGCACGATTGGAAAAGCGAGACACATCATCCTTCATCAATCTGAAACCAGTGTAGAGAACATCTCCACTCAGCACTGCATTCAACAAGATTCGGATTTTCAACACTAATTCAGTCAAGTCAAGTAAGTCAGTGCTTCTCTATGTGATGACTGAGAGACTTGGCATCTTACACAAAGCATTTCCGACAAACTACAGACATACATCATCAACAGCTGTCGCCTACGCTCACTCGATACTGAAGATCAGGTCAGATCAGATGACCAGAATCATAAGAATAAGCAACAAGGAACTCTGGCCTGGCGATGCACCAACAAAGAACCTATCGCCCAATATATATGCAGAAGAAGAATATGGATATGGATTGGACTGGATTGAGCATACACTGAGAAGACCGTTTGGGGACATCAGGTGCCAGTCTGAGCCCTCGAGTGGACTGCGCATGGGAAACGACGAGTTGGGCATCCCCGATGTCGGTGACATGGAGAAAATCATGTGAGAATGAAATGAAAGCTCGTGGGCAGTCGTGGAGCCAGGTCAAAAAAAAATACTGAAGAGAAGAGTGTGAAATGGCGATGTGCTACTGAAGCCCTCTGTTCCACTAGGAACTCAAGCGACAAATAAAAGTAATAACAAAACTGGAGCCTCTCCACAACTGACCTCAATCCTGTGAATAAACCAAGAAAACTTTTAATTTCAGCACAGTGATAGTGTCATTCAAATGTATTCACCACATCTTCGGTCTTCAATAACATGTCCTCACAGCAATGCATTCTCAGTTATCCCTACGATGTCTGAGTAGAAAAGTGTGGCTACATGTGAACCAATGACACGGATAAACAGAGATAAAATCAACGTAGAACCTCATACACACACACCCACACACAAGTGTATTCTTTCAAGATGTCACACTGCATGGTAGTATGCAAAGAACAGGTGGATAGGTGAATGGAAAAAGACTGATATCGAAGTACATAAAGTAGTATGAGAGAATAAATAATCTGAAGGTGAAGGTTTGTGTGAATATTGAAGCTTTAGAAGATGTGAAGGAGTGAGTACATTTGTGTCATTATCACTGATTTATAACCATGTCACCAACAGTCCTCAACTACTGATTTCCATCGTCTCATGGACCGCAAGAGACAGTTTAATCCACGACGACCACCACCACATGACTCAGATCATAGGTACACTAACTGCTTTGCCTTCCTTGTCTAGTATCGTTCGCCTGACTTAAACATGACTCACATGGTGACTCCATCCAACGTGAGCAATACTACAAAGACACCTATGATCAGAACCTTTTAACAGCTTCATAATATTTAGGTCCATGAAACTTGCCATCAGCCATATAAATTGGTATATTTGTATAGTAGATAGTTATATCAAAACTAACCATTTTCAGAGAGTGATGTTGTTGTTGTTACTAGCTATAACATCCAAAGCATACTATACTGTTGTACAAGGAATCTCTATCATGACTTATTCACTCAATGAATAAAGATGTAGTGTTTGAAGCTACTGGTTCTATTTTCAACTCTAAGTGGAAATGGAATAGCTTACGACGAAGTAGTCACATGCAGCTGATGAGTCCTAAATAAGACGAAACGCCTATCTTAAATTCTACTCCTCGCCATCATCTATCATCAATAAAATAAATTTAGGCTGGTTCAATGGAAGTTTCATTTCCCGAAAATTCTTATTTATAACTGATTAACTTAGGAAATATGACTGATTGGATCAAAGTTTACTTTATAGTTTTCGCTTACTATGAAATATCGATTTATGGGAATTAACTTTTCTCAGTACACATATTGTTAATAAATAATTGTTTAGTAAACAACAATTTTGAACATGCAACACAATGTTGTTTTATTTTGTTTTCCCGATTTTTTCCTGCAAAACATAAAAAGAATTTACTTCTGGCATCCGTTTGTGTGTGTGTGTGTACATAGGAATAATCTACTATCCCGACATTTAATTCAACGGAACCAGTAGTAGAATTCTAATTTCGGATAATAGGTCTCTTTATTGAACAAAGAAACCTGTAATTTCTGTTCATGTTTACACGGCGATTAGAAACACTTCAGGTATAATCTACTTCCAATTGATATTCATCATGAGGCTGACATCAGTTAAAGAACCAGTTGAGATCTAGGAACATTGGATAGAGGTTTCATCTTAGTATGAGACTCCTCAGCGTTGACTACTCGTGACACCGCCAGGGATCGATCCCAGCATTTTCGTTACCATGTTACTATTAAGCCACTGAGTGAGAATCCAACGATGCACAGTTTCCTACTTCTGTTAGTTTTGGATATAGCGTGATCTCTATCCAATGGTGTTGTTAATAACCTGTTCTCACTTTTGACTTAGTTTGCCCCACTTAGCCTGGCTTATCATTAGAACTTCAAGTAATCTCATTTAGGAACAAGTTACCAGTGGTCAACACTGCGGAATGTGGGAGATTAGATCATGATGCACTAGCCCAATGGTAGCGTACTGGCTGAAAGACCTGTAGGTCCCACATGCGAACTGCCAAGGGGTCTCATACAAAGACGAGAAATCTGTTCAGTGCTCTCAGTTTCTCAATGATTCTTCAACTTATCCCTATAAACATCCAAATTGTAAAGAATTTCTTACAAATTCTATTCAGTGGTTTGGTGGCAGCAGTAGTGTGGGACAGAGGAGCCCGGCCTAATTAATCTGACTTGAAAACACTTTATATGAACTAGGGATTCACGGAAAATCAGAGAGCACCAGTTTGGGACATTTTAACAGTATACACTCATAAGGCAATGTTCATCATATAAGTAAGTTAACAAAAGTATCATCCTACCTTGAGGTTGGTCTTATGGAATTCACTTCGTACAGGTAAATTCTTGAAAATTTTGTCAGGAATCTACGACAATATAATGTCATAATCAATAATGCCTCGGATCAAATAGGGCAGCGCTAGACCGAGCAATCGACCATGAATCTGATGTGGGACCAGGTGTAGCAAAAATGGGGTAAAACGTTGGGTCAGATGTCGGGCTATTTGTAAAAGCATAGGGTCAGACGTAGAGCAGAATGTGCTGAACACGTAGCTAAATGTAGGGCCAAAAACCATCGGGACAAGGGTAGGGAATATTACAAAACATACGTCAGGCCCTAACATCTGGTCTAGCGCTTTCTATAGTCACTGGTCCGACGAAAATGTTGACTCCTATAAAAAGTAAACCAAGTTGAAGTGGGAGTGGTGAGAGGAAATAAACACGGACCCACTAAATTGAAAATTATTCATATCATGCCACATACCCTGAAATTTGAATATATTCTCGAAATCAGAACATAATCCCCATGAAACCGGATTTATGTCCCGAAGTTAGAGCACAGTGCTCTAGGTCAGCTATGTTGCTTTCATCGTCTTGTTTGTTTTCATTTGACCTCGGTTGCTGACTTTTTTGAAACTTCTGATGAAAATAAGCAAGAACGAAACAAAGTCCACTCAGCGACCTTGTGCACATTCATGCTATAGGCAATAAACCACACCTTTTATGTGAAGACTAAAGATACTATACCACCTCACCACCACCCAAACTCCTGTAGTTGGGAGGGGGCTGGAACCCGTCACCCTGTGTTGGTTGAACGTCAGCTCAATTCAGGGAAAAGAATTCTCCTTCTCCACCAGACTGTTTCCCATTAAGCTCTTACATCTAATTGACAAATCTTGGGTGGGTCGAAACACTACTGGTCACTTTACCTCACCATTCAAATGTGATCGTAAACTTTTGAACATTCCATCCACCTAATTGAACTATTCAATATCACTTTTCTCTTTCTCTCTCTCTGTTTTTCTTCCTAGGAAGTGTTGCAAGAAGTCATTACAGTTCGTCCACCAAACATTGTACTAGTCAGTAAGATACCAGATTCTGGTAAGTATTCTATTTCCTTTACCATATGGTATCATGTTGAAATTGACAACAGTTCAATGATGCTTATTTCATTTGGTTCCAAATAATTTTTGCAGTTACCTTGATTTCTCAATAATAGTCTAATGTTTTCATGAATAGCTCAACAATTCTACATGATTAAAGAATTTACTAAGGTGTTCTAGAAGTTTCTTTTTTGTCCATAACACCTTTTTTCGGCATAGTCTAATTACTATGTATCTGATAACAGACCCCAGTGCCATGAGTTCGAACCCATCAGGGAGTATACCAGTGTACACTTCTGATGAGCACTGACCAGTATGAAAAACAAACCAACCAGATGTTCCCCTTCACTATTACCTTTTTTCAAGAACCACCGAAAACCTAGGAACACTGAGCATCTGTTTCTTCCTAGTGTGCAGCTCCTCGGTATAGCGTACCCACGGTCCCACCGGAGATCCAGCCTAGGACTTTCAGGTTCTGCGACCAGAACGAACATGAGAACAAGTATTCAACGACATTATCAGACCAAAGACAGGCTGTATCGCGAACGAACAGAAGAAAAAGATAATTCGGACCATTCGTAACCATTTGGAACCGGAGTGTTCTGGGTTAAATCACTGGTGAGGCCATGACTGCCGCCTACTGGAGGTCCCATATTAGGACGGAACAGCCGTCCACTGCTCCCTGGTTTTCAATGGGTCTCCGACTGTCGTCGATCTTTCACAGAAATCATCACGATAGCAACTGATTCATGTTTGATTTTAAACCTAACTATCTCATACACGCACATACATAGTCCTACTAAATAGGCGTAGTATATGACTAGCTTATGTCTTTCTCGTCTAAAAATTTTGGGTGTTACCCGTTTTTTCCTCTTTCTTAGTTTATCCCTTAAAAATTATTAATTTGTCCTATTGTTGGTACCGCTGATGAGATTATATTTGTTTTAAAGGTGTGGTTATTTCTTTTCTGTTATAAATAAAAGCCAAAGACTGAATGAGTCATTCAGTCAGTGATAGTAGTAGTGTACGTCATGACTCAACCATAACCAAAATATTCTTCCCGTTCACTTCATGTGTTTTATTTATACACACAAAACGTTCAGACTGCAGAGCAATCAATGCATGCGATTCTGGAGGTCATTCATAGCCTGAATAGCTCAATGGTAAGGTGGTTGACTGCAACCTCTCGGGTGATGTGGATCCGAACCTCGAAGGGGGCATCAGTTCTTGCGAGGTTGCAGATCTACACCTTACTGACAAGTCTTCATCATTCCCTGTTTACAAGTTTGTTTCTTTTACCCAGTGAATCACTATACTACTGATGTATGTTAGTAGTCAGCGTTCATTTATACACCTAAAAACATCTTTCGACTCAATTAATCGTTACCCATTTTTATGTATGGAATAATATTATACCTTCCTCTCTTCGGTGCACACATCCGCATAACTAAAAAAACAAATACAGTGTGACGATGAATTTATATTACTTTTTGGGTAGAAAACATCTTTTTTTTATATTGGGAAAGAAAAACAATGTCTAGATGAATGTTTTTGTTTATTGATCAGTATTAAATGTTTCAATAGATTGTAAATAAGACACGATGTTTAATTAAAGCGGACAAAATATAGGACTTCATTTAAACAATTAAATTTTTACAGTTTTCTCAAGTTCAATTGTGAAGTTGATAATGGCCAGAAGAAAAGAATGAGTTACTTTTGTTTAACTGAAGACAGAATGTTTTTTTTCAACATATTTTGAGACATTTTTTTAGTGTATAAGAAGTGAAATAGTGGAATGAGTCGATCAGTTCACATACTTGGCGAGTTACATCAACCTGGACAGAATAGAGAAAGCCTGTTTGACACTTACCAACTTGTGTCAACTTTGGTGCAGACTGGCGAGATATCCGACTACCTGTTAAATGACGTGTATACTGAACTGCTATGAGACGTGAAGGTTAAGTCTAGAAGTGTCTTCGTAGCATCACTCACATATGGTGGAATCAGTGTGTGAGAGTACTAGAAAAGGTAAGTAATTTGAGTGATGGGATTGTGAACCTTAGTCAACTGAGATAGCTGGCTTAGATATGTACTGCGCATACCGAGACACTACCTACCTCAGCAGTAGAGTGGATGAGTTCATCAATAGTTACATTATAAAGTATTTCTAAATCATCACTGAGGCTATCTCTGATAGACTAGTACTGGTGATACTCAGTAATGGTTAGTGGTGGTGGAATGAAAATCTGAATCACTGCAAGATTCGGACCAGAAGTCTTTGGATTACCTGTCCAGCATTCCAAATGACCATATGACCCAGATTTTGATCACGTCCTAACAACTTGGGTTTTTATTCCACCTTCACTTATCACTCAGTATGACTCTCTCTTTAATGCAACTCAATTTATATTGGAACGAGGAAACTTGGCTGTTCAGCCAGTGTGGTTACCATGACCAGAGATATGCATATCACGGATTCTCATGGCAACTAGGTAAAAGTCTTGGTGATTGAAGCGAAATTAAGACCTACCCAGCAGTTGTGTCACATGTGGCGCAGTTGGTTGAGTGCCAGGCCAGTAACGGGGGGATGGGGCAATGGGTCAGGTGTTTGTTCTTAAATTAAAGGGGAGACTAATCAAAGACAGTTCAGTGAAGAAAATTTTTTTCCCATAAATCATTTTCAAAAGGTGTAAAATCGTAACTATAGTTACAACAAACTATGTATGTCCATCAGTGGCTAATGGGTCGCTACAAGGTCACCAAAAACGGTCAACAAAGTCAAAAGGTGATAACGACTAGAAGATGAAATCAAGGTTATCAAAAATTACTTGTAGGATTATAATCAATAAACAAAGAAGTGAATCAACTGTCTTAGGGAGATGATGACCAAGTCAAAAGTAGAGATTGGATGTATCTTTTTTGAACCCAAACGGCAGGCTTGTAATGCTGGATTGTCAGAGCTTGTTGTGTGTATTGAGGTGGCGAATACGCACTCGCTTCGAAATGTTTGACTTTGAAAGAAAGACTGTCGTTGAGGATAGTGACCAGAGACCACCAAATACTCAAGAATCAAACTGCTGACGGTGTTGCACTATAATTGAGACAGCCATGTAGAATAGTGTTCACAGATGCTTTTGGATACATCGCACTTTAAGCTACCAGCTCCAGAAGAGCAGGTAAATTGGTAAACATGCATTAAGGTGGTCGAAAGTGGAAGTTTATCCTTTCCACACTGTGGAATCAGTTGTTGACTGAAGAAAACAATCCCAAGCTGTGCGGAAAAGGAGGTCTTCTTCAATGCTTTGTAAAGTTGGTTCTTCAGTATGTCTGTCAATGTTTTCTCTGGAATCAAATATTCATAAATGGTGTCTTCTTTAGAAGCGTAAGAGCTTTTCCTTTGAAATTCCTACGCTTCATGTTCCTCTCAACGAATCTTGAAGGATAACCATTATTGATTAATACTCTTCAAAGTATTTCCAGGAGTATATGAAGAAATTCAGAAACCAGTGGATACTGTTATGAATAAGGTTGAGAAACCCTCAAGGGATCTGATACACCGAATGAAGCCATTTCTCGGTGGGTCAGAATGGTTTAATTTCATGCCAAAATTTATTGATCTCAGTAGAATGTATGGTACTATTAAGATTTATAAGTCAGATTATCCCATCAGGCCTATAGTAGATTTTAGAAACACTCTGACTTACGAGTTGTTTAAATATTTAGCAATGGCGTTAGGACCAATAAGAAATCAATCAAAATCTCAACTTATCAACTCTTACTTTAGATAGAACAAGCCTGTACACGAATATTCCGATCGACATGGCTCTAAAGGCAATTGGAGATGATCTTAACGATGACAGTGAGTTTCAGCATCGAAATAAGGTGCCGATCGAGGAAACCATGCTAGGAGTACACTTGTACTTAACATCTACAGTTTTTAGACTTCAAAATACAATGTATAAACAAACTGAATGGGTTGCCATGAGATCACCATATCCCTTTCGTCACAGACACAATTATGGATAGTTGGGTACAGATGTCCCTTCAAACATTTAGTTCTACTACAAAGATATGCTTCCAATATGTAGATGAGACATTTACAATAGTGAAATTGGAACACATCAATGGGTTGTAGAGACTAGTGTTCATAGGAAACCTTCCCGCTAGAATAGTTACCTAGACTTCAAATCATCCCATCCTATCTCGTTTAAAGAAGGCTCAGTTGAATGTCCATGTGATGGGGTGGAAAAGCTTATACTTAGTAAACGAGAAAATCTTCACCAATAACACCAATAACAGAAGTAGTAGTAGTAATAGTTGTAGGAACACAGATGCTACTAATGATAATCGTACTACTAATAGTAATGATGGTGGCAGGGTTGAGAGAGAATTTAGAGCCTGTAGTGTGTTACCATAGAAGGAAGGTGCCTGTGAAACATTACGAATAATTCTGAATAAGGTTGACTGAGATTACAGTGTCATTTGAACCAAGAAACTGGCTTAGAAACAAGGTTTGTAGGTTAACAGATCCTATTGATGGAATTAAGCAAGGTAATCTTGTTTACAAAATCCCTAGGAATGATTGTGAGGTGAAACACATAGATGAAAGTAGTGGACCAGTGGGTCACTTAGAATAACAGAGGAGAGAAACTTGAATAAAAGCCTGAGCATAGGTATGCAGTCAGTGACAGTGAATAACACCGTGGGATGGGATAGAGTGGCAGTATTGAAAACGAGGTTAGTTGAGTGGAGGGAGAGAGGGGGGAGAGAGAGATTGATAACCGACTGAATGTTTGTTTATCGAATCAACACCAAATGCATAGAGTAACAGGAATGATTCTTCACGTCTCCTATATCTTTGGAGAATTGTTACTACCCTTTTCACCAGAAGGAAGGTGAGGGAAGATTAGGACTATATAAACTCTATCTCAGAATTGTGACGTTATCTGATATGAACTATCTACGGTAAATCGTGTCCCAATGGTTATCCAGTAAATG